CACAACTCTGCAGCCCCTGGGTGCCTTTTTAAGGACCTGGCAAACATGAAAGGATCCAGGATTATTAAAGGTCAGAGACAAGAACTCCTTCCCCAGCAAGGCCTTGCAGATGCTATTTAAGCTGATCTCCCTCTGAGGTGGGGGTGACTGCAGCAACTTCCCAGCCAGCCAGCAGCCAGCTTCCTGACCTGTTTTAGCTCTGGCTGGCATCATCATGCTGCGGCACTCTCCTTTTCAGTATTTTTACCTACTAAAATTTGTGGCTAACCTTTAAATAAGGTAACTGTTCTCAGTTTTGGAGCTATGATGGCTAACATCCAAAAGGTGATCAACTGTAATCAACTGACACAAGCAGGAGGTCCCCAAAGCAATGTCAACTGCCATCTGTCCACAATGAATTAGTGCAATAGAGGACAAAAAGGAAAGGTCCTGTGACAAAGCAATTCACATGAGGTTTGATATAGATAGAGAACAGTTTGGTTCAGAATAGGCTTGTTAAAAATAAAGGACAAACATACATAAACATCTGGCTATCTTCCTACTGAGGAGAGACAGAAAATAAAGTCTACCAAAAGCTAGCTGCAGGGTAGTATGGGCAAGTTTTAAAAAAAATTGGAGTCTCAAAGGCTTGAGTATGATTAAATGCTGATGAGGGAACAGACAATAGATCAAGGTCTCGTAGAAAGGGAAAGAGCTGGCAGGCAAAGACCCAGGTACAGATAGCATCAGAGCACAGCTGAGCTGAATCCTCCATGCTAGGAGGTGCCAAGGAGGGTGCAGAGGCAGACATGCTGGAAGTCTGGTGATAGACAGCTCAGGGAAATCCAACAATTATTCTCTATGAAGTTGATGGCAAAGCTCACTTGGCTGAGTGAGAACAATTGGGTAAAGGCAGTGTTTAAGGAGACACTGCTGGGATGGACAGGGAGGGCCAACTAGGACAGGAGAAAGGCTCTGCTTAGCGCTTGGCATTCAGTCAGGGGTGGAATTCTGTCTGTCCAGTCTGTTCAAAGACCAGGTGGAAGACAGTGAAGGGCAAAAGTGCTGAGCCATATGAGATGGAGAAATCCAGGGAAGGCTCAGGGTCAAAGAACATACAGATAAAAAAAAAGGAGGGGCGTTCCAGGTGGAAAGACACCGAACAGGAACAGCAGGGTACTAGAGAATCACTGGCTTGAAATAAGAAGCTTGGAGAAGATTTGGGGTTAGAAGAACTTCCTGGGTCAACCTCTTCTAGGTCAGTGACTCTCATCTGGAGACATTCTGGGTTGTCAAAACAGTGTGGCATAGGTACTTTTGGGAAGTAGTAGACAGAGGCTAAGGACAATACTAAATGTTCTGTGATGTACAGGACAGTTTCCCTCACTTTCTCCTTCAAATAAAGACTCATCTAATTGAAATGTTGGCAGTGCCAAGGCTGAGAAACCATGTATAGGTCAAAGGTTGTCACAAAAGGTTGCTCAATGGGAAAAAGTTAATTTTTACTGCACCTGAGGATGGTAGCGTTGTTAAGGTGAGGGGACAACATGCTCTGAGAAGGCTGAACACTGTAATTTAGAGAAAGGATCAACTTGCTGAGACTGAAGAGAGCAGCTGACTTTGAAGCAACATGGAGAACGGACACAGCCAGCACAGCACATCTTGCATAAAGTAAGGATAAGACAGTGAGGGAGACAGTGCTGCAACTGGAGTGCAAAGAAATTATTCCCTGAAGTGTCACAACATTTGTACTCTTCAAAAGCAGCTCACAAACACAAAGGCCGTTTTGTTTCAGCTGCAGAAAGCTAAGGTCCCACAAGGCCGTGGACCTCAGTGGAGAGAGAGTGTGACCCTGTGGTATCAGAATCACTGAGAGGCTTACTAAAATAAGGATGTATAAAGACTACTTAGAGTCTTTATAAAATCACTCATTGATCTGACAGTCGGGTTGAGAAAGCTCTGAGTTACACTGGAGCTAGAGAGAGAGAGAGAGAGAGAGAGAGAGAGAGAGAGAGAGAGAGAGAGAGAGAGAGAGAGAGAGAGAG